AAATATTAATAATATTATTCTTAATAAACTTGAAAAAAAAAACAAATTTTAATACTTTGCATAAAAAAATACTTAATTTTTGAATAAAGTTTGTTAATGATTTCTTATATTTACGCGAACACTACACATTGATTAAAACTATTTTTACGGATTTTATCACGTTTATTTTACTATTATTTTTAATTCCCGACGTTTCGGGCGCTTTCCAGCACCCATGGTCACGGGGGACTGAGATGACTGACGTCCCGATGTCATTGTTAAACCCGGAGTACCTTCAGCTTTTTTAATTATTGTTTATGGTCCGATCTATGCAAAATGATGACTATGTCCTGAGGTCTTGCAGTGGTATGCTTGGGTTTAGTTTTAATTTTATTGATTATAGGATCCCAAGCAGGTGGTAGTACCCAGCCTTCTTCTCTATTGAAATTAGGATGTTTTTTAATTTCAATGGCCTCACGTATCATCCTTGGTAGGAATCGGTGTTCTTTCGCGAGAATTTGTGGTCTATCAAATCTGATGTAATGGTTGGGGCCGTTTAGGATATGATTGCAAACTGCAGACTTCCCGGAACGTTGATGCTTCACATCAGCTATATGTTCTTTTACGCGGGTTCTAATTGATCTTTTTGTTTGTCCTATATAAGAGAGACCACATTCACAATCAAGCTTGTATACTTCTGCATCTTGTAGAGGAATATGACACTTGACTGATGGTAGGAACTGACTAATCTTCTTTGGCGGCTTGTAGAATGTTCTAATAGAAGCTCGCTTCAAGATGTAGCCAATCTTGTCTGTGACACCTCTGACATATGGTAGTACAGCAGGCACACGCTCGACTGTAGCCGGCTTCACTCGGTCACTGTGACGTAGGCGCGGGACCCGAAGCTTGTTGTCATGCAGAACTTGCTTGACGTGCTGAAGCTCGGCGGCCAGGTGTTTGCTGTCACAGATCCCTCGTGCTCTCTGTAACAAAGATTTGCCCACGGTAGCTAACTGTGAAGGATGGTGGTGAGATTCACCGTTTAAATATCGGTTTGTATGGGTCTTTTTTCTATACACAGTGTGACCAATGGTGTTGTTAGGATTTCGGATGACTAACACATCTAGGAAAGGTAAGGAATTATTTGCCTCTAACTCCATAGTAAATTGAATTTTAGAGTTTATGGAATTAAGATGTTCTAAAAATGCAGTTACTTTGTCTGATGGTAAAATTGTGAAAGTATCGTCTACGAACCGCTTGTAGATCCTTGGGGTAACAGGTGCAGTAAGGAGGGCTTTCTCCTCAAAGTCTTCCATGAATATATCGGCGACAATGGGTACACAATAAAAGTTTTAGAAAAAGGTATGAATTTCGCAATACCACCGCGAAAAATACCGTATGAGGACACTATCTATAGTGTTGAGGACTGTCTGTATAAAAATAACATTGGTAATGAAGATTTAGAGGCCATACGTCAAGACATTTCGTCTATGTTACGTCGAAGTTCAGCGCCGAAATTAAATCTTCCCAAAAATGAATTTAACGCGTTGAAAAACTTACGCAACAGACCAGAGCTTACGATTCTCCGCGCAGATAAAGGCAATGCTACGGTTATAATGGATACGTCGGATTACAATTTTAAAATACAACAACTTTTGTCGGATGTAACTACATACCGAAAAGTCAAAACAGACCCTACAACTAATACGCTTAAAACACTAGCGATTTAATTAAGAAATACTCCGAAAAATTGAATCTCGACGTCAATTCGATAATACCTTCATGTGCCAAACCACCGAAGTTGTATGGGTTACCAAAAATCACAAACCGAACGCTCCATTACGTCCAATAGTGAGTCAGATTAATTCGCCAATTTACAGATTGGCTCAACACTTAGCTAGAATATTATCACCACTCAGAGGACACACAAGAGCACACACTAAGGATTCATACCATTTTGTCAGTGAGATAAAAGACCTACGTCTTACTGACAATGAAACCATGGTCAGTTTTGATGTTCAGTCTCTATTTACATGCCTACATGTTGAAGACTGCATCTCAATTATAACTAGGAAACTAGAGGAAAATAATATGCCAGCAGAATATGCAGTATTACTCAGACATTGCCTTACATCTGGCTATCTATTGTGGAAGGAAGAGTTTTACAAGCAAGTAGATGGTGTTGCGATGAGCTCACCCGTATCTCCCATTGTCGCCGATATATTCATGGAAGACTTTGAGGAGAAAGCCCTCCTTACTGTACCTGTTACACCAAGGATCTACAAGCGGTACGTAGACGATACTTTCACAATTTTACCATCAGACAAAGTAACTGCATTTTTAGAACATCTTAATTCCATAAACTCTAAAATTCAATTTACTATGGAGTTAGAGGCAAATAATTCCTTACCTTTCCTAGACTTGTTAGTCATCCGAAATTCTAACAACACCATTGGTCACACTGTGTATAGAAAAAAGACCCATACAAACCGATATTTAATTTAAGTCAAGTGTCATATTCCTCTACAAGAAGCAGGAGTGTACAAGCTTGATTGTGAATGTGGTCTCTCTTATATAGGACAAACAAACAGATCAATTAGAACCCGCGTAAAAGAACTTATAGCTGATGTGAAGCATCAACGTTCCGGGAAGTCTGCAGTTGCGATCATATCCTAAACGGATCCAACCATTACATCAGATTTGATAGACCACAATTCCTCGCGAAAAAACACCGATTCCTACCAAGGATGATACGTGAGGCTATTGAAATAAAAAAAACATCCTAATTTCAATAGAGAAGAAGGCTGGGTACTACCACCTGCTTGGGATCCTATAATCAATAAAATTAAAACTAAACCCAAGCATACCACTGCAAGACCTCAGGACATAGTCAGTTCATTTTGCATAGATCGGACCATAAACATTAATTAAAAAAGCTGAAGGTACTCCGGGTTTAACAATGACATCGGGACGTCAGTCATCTCAGTCCCCCGTGACCATGGGTGCTGGAAAGCGCCCGAAACGTAGGGAATTAAAAATAATAGTAACATAAACGCGATAAAATCCGTAAAAATAGCTTTAATCAACGTTTGTTAAAATACACGCATATACATTTTTAAAAGACAAATAGTACATACTTGTTTCTGTGCTTAAAACTAAATTGTTATTGTTTTTGTACTAAAAATTAAATCAAATTGTTATTTTTCTGTACTTAAAATTACAATTAATTGTTTTTTTTCTTATAATGTTATTAAATAAAGAATCTATAATCATCTCATAATTTGTTAAAAAGAAATATACAATTTGAAAAAGTATTGAAGGCTTTTTAGAAAATATTTAATTTATTTGTTATTTTTAACTAGTGGCTAAAGTGATGCAAAAAGGCTATAATCTCAGCCTTTTATGGCTGAAGTCGATTTATTTTTGTTTCGTAGATACTAGATATTCCCTGCCTCAAAAAAAGCCTCTCACTATACACAGAACTGGCGGGGTAGCAAAGGAAAACTTTGGCTAAACGGGACATTTCTGGATATCTGGAAGAATTTTTGTTCCACCATTTGAATTTATCATCTGATAGGGATCTGCTGGGCCGATTAATCGGCTATTCCTAACCGATTAATCGGCTAATCGGCCAATCGGCCAATCGGCCAAAGTACTAATCGGCCCAACTCTAATAAAAATACTACATTATTTAAAATAAAAATAACATTCATAAAATCAACATTAGAAACAAGAATAAATCAGTGATTCTTTCCTTAAGACTTAAGAAGGTAAGAATATTTTAACTCCTTTGCAGGACAATTTTAAATTTTTTTTAGGTATGTATTTTCTGACCTTGCTAAAACATAACCTTTATATTGATAACGAAGCATATCAATGAGCCCTCACAAGTAACAAAGCATTTTTATTAAATTCTCAATTAATAAAGCCTTCCTATATATGGGCTGAACAATGCATTTATAATCGTATCACTGTTATTCTTCTTCACACGGACCATCCAAAAATCAATGTGTTCGCACTTGTAAATAGAGCAAACTGTCTGTCATTATTTGCGGGGAAATCTGCACCACGCACACTTTCTCAGACTCCCACGCAAATATAATCATCTGTCACTACGAAACTCACACATAACAATTAAAATAATGCATTTACAATTTCACACACACATAGATACATTCTGTGTCATAACAGTATAACCAAGTGACGCAACTACATTGACAAGTTGCATACAGTCGTGGCTGTTACAACTGTCGATACGCATTATCGATGAAAAGGTGGATATTATAATAAACATATTTTCTTTACTTTATTCATTACTACTATAATTACCTATCAATTAACAAATAAACTTAATGTATATATAATTTTAAAAACCAGTGTAACCAATAGCAATACATCATAAATCCATAAACAGTCACGCCTATCATCTAGAGGGGTAGGCAGAGACTACGGACTTCCGTTTGGCACAATCCGGACATACCTCTCTCGCCTTCCTTACATCCGTATATCTACGAATACACGCTCGTCGGTTAAGAGTACTCCTAATCTAGCCCATTTTCAATATATCGCCGATTTGGTCGATAAACCTTCGTCTTGGGCATCCCCTCTAGGGAATGCAATCTCGTTCTCGCGAGATCTCGTTTTCGCGAGATCTCGGCCTTTTTTAGCGAGATTGATCTCGGACGAAAAAAAGGCGAGATCTCGCGAGTTTAACGAGATTTCACTCGAGCATAAAAACGTCTTATTCGAAGCGCGGACTGACACGGACGGAGTTGCGATCTGTCGGTTTCGTTCGGTGCGTTTCGGTCGCGGGACGAGGTGTCTCTCAGACTCGTTCGTGCGTGCGATTGGTCGAAAATTGAGCCGGCGTACAGTGTCATCAGCGCGCATTTGTTTTGTTTACTAATGGTTGTTGCCTTGTTGCTAGCTAACGTAATTGAGTTTGATTGCATTCGAGTATTTTTTTGGTTATTTATGCAAAAAAAAGTTTCTTATGTGATTTACGAGTGGAATAACGAACAATGTCGGCGAATATAGTTTATAAAGACTATGAGAGTGTGTCGGAAGTATGGAAATACTTTTTGAGAGCGGAAAATGGATTGAGTGCTAAGTGCAAACTTTGTAAGAAGATTCTTAAAACCAAAGATCGATCTCCGCGTGGCTTACATGTGCATTTAATATCGATTCATAAAATTGACACGAAAACGAAGAATGTCATATCACCCCCGCCGTTGACGTTGCCGCCACCATCATCAAATACTGGGGCTACTAATCAAAACATGGAATTAGTAACAGCATCCGCATCTACGTCGAATGTTAGTCCAGAATCACCAGGATCGTCGGCACCAGTGCCACCAGCAAGAAAGAAGAGGCAAAAAATTACTGATCATTTCCTCCCGGTTGAAGATACTTCTATGGAGAAAAAAATATCAAGAATGGTAGCCAAAGATGGACTACCTTTCCGTGTTTTCTGTACTTCCACAGATATGAGAAATCTCTTCAATTCTTCTGGACACAAACTGCCTATGTCCCCAAACACAATTAAACTTATAGTTATGAATTATGGCATGACATTGAAAATGAAAATAATGCGTGAATTGGCTCAACTGAAGGAGAATGATCACAGATTTACGCTAACATGTGATGAGTGGACTTCTTCTATGAACAAGCGATACATGAATGTAAACGTACACACATTTTTGAACGGCAATACTATGTTTTGGAACTTGGGGCTGATTCGCGTCTTTGGAAGTATGCCTGCTGAAAGTGGTGTCAGTATTTTGAAAACAAAGTTAATCGAATTTGGCCTTATTCTGGAAACAGATATTATAAATATTACTACAGATGGGGCAAGTGTGATGAAAAAAGTTGGTTCGATTGATATCACTTTCACATCAGCTCTGCTATGCCCATGGTGTTCAACTTGGCATAATAGATACTATTTATAAAAAACAAACTGATGTTGAGGAACCTGTGATAGAATCTGAAAATGAGGAAAACGACGATGAGATTCCTTTAGAAATGGACGAAATTTCTAGCACAGGCTCAGGCTTAGAAGATGATGTTTTTCATTGCTCTATGCCCAGAACAGAAGTATACCTAGATGCAGAATATGCGGGTATTATTGAGAAAGTTAGGAAATTGGTGAAACTTTTTAAAAGATCACCTACTAAAAATGATACTCTGCAAATATACGTAAAGCAAGAATTTGGAAAAGATATTAAGTTACAACTTGATTGTAAAACTCGATGGTCGAGCCTAGCAGACATGATTTCTACATTTATTAGAATCAAGCTATGTGTCAGCAAAGCTTTGATCGACCTTAGCCTGGAAGCTGATCCGAACTACTGTTTGAATGCGGAAGAACATGCGGTTTTAGCGAACTTAGACAAGGCATTTCAACCTGTAAAACTGGCTGTGGAGGTGTTATGTCGTCAAGATACAGACTTGGCTATCGCAGAAACAACACTTAGGTTTATGATTCGCAAACTGGAAGAGCTAAAAACTCCATTGGCAGAAAAACTAGCTGGCTCCTTGAGAAAGCGCATTGTTGAGCGTCGGACGAATTTGACAGCATGCTTGTTGTATATTAGAGATCCAGCTAAATACCAAGCAGATAAAGAAGAGTTTGCGAAAGACGAAACATTTAAATTGCCTCCGAAAAATGTGATTCGAACTGAAATTAAATCACTTATAGAGCGTTTGCATCCGCAATACAATCTGACTAATTCACAGACAGAGACAAATTCAGATCCATCTTGGTCGATCGCATCAACATCAGCTGCCACCGCTAATGATATAGCTGAATTTGAGGATGACGATAATGAACAGCTTTCATCTCTTTCTGAGATACGCAAGAGTATTTCATTGCAAGAAGAACTTCAGGAAACATTGACTGCTGCGTTCAAAGAACCTAGAGACAGAAAACTAACTACGAATTCTCTGGAGGCATTAATAAAAAGGAAATGAATTTATACGAGTCCGGGGGTCAAAAGGCGAACTTTTACGGTTTGTTGATAACTGCCTGAGATCTGTGGTTCCAACTAGCGTTGAATCCGAAAGGGCCTTCTCAGCGGCTGGTTATCTGGCCAACAAAATAAGAAGCCGTTTAGCAGACGATTCTTTGGACATTTTGTGCTTCTTAAGGAGCTACTTTCAAAATAATTCGTAATAATGGCTCGTGATTTGAACTGAACAAATTTTTCATTTGATTGGTATATTTTGTTAATTAATCTGTAATTTCTAATAGTCTGACTAATTGATATATTTTGTTAATTAATCTGTAATATCTAATGGATCTACTGAGTAGATATAGTTTTATTTAATTGATAATAATATCTCAGTTTAGTAGTCAACTCAACTTAGATAATAAGTTTCATTTTTTTTTTACTTCTCGTTGCTTTGTTTGTTATAAAAGAACTGTTTTATTACTAAAAGATTTTTGTTTGATATTAGAAGAGAAGACTGGTTGTTTCTTTTATTTGTTATTTGATAGAAGTTTATTAAAAAATTATAGACAGATACGTCAAACAATGTTTGATGCATAAAAGTCTATTGAAAAAATTCGTGAAAATAAATGTTTATCTTATAATACTTATGGTTTTTATATTTTTTTTTTCCTAATTTATTTAAATATTGTGATTATTTGCAAAAAAAACACATAAAACTGCTAATATCGCGAGATCTCGAAATTGGCGAGATCTCGCAGTATTGTTATTCATAAACTCGCGGGATCTCGCTTGAGCCCCAATCTCGCGAGATTTGCATTCCCTAATCCCCTCCTGATAAATTTGCTTTGTCACTCTTTAATCGTTCATTATTTCTACATGACCATCTTCCATTCTATCTATCACTGATTTTTAAAATGGATTGAACTTGTATATATAAAAAGTACATCTTTGTGGGTCCGCTTTTTCATTAAGAAAGAAATTTTGTATCAGTATAGAGATTTAAAGCAAAATATCGCAGTTGTGGTGAATACTTAGCTCGTGAGAGCTTCCCACTTTTACATTTTGACGCTTAAAAAGTTCTGTTCATTCAACGCCAATTTTTTCAACAATTATCCGTTCTTTTTTATCTATCAAAGATTTTTCATACAGTTTTTGAAACAATTATTGTTAATTTATTTTATTTACTTATTTATTATTATTATTATTAAAAATCCTGATAATATAGCTGTTATAGTTGTTTTTAGGAAACCCGCAATCCATAAATAAAAAACAATATGGTGGAAGTTCACAGTTAGTGATTTTAATATAATGTATTGATACTCTTAAGTATTGTGTTATATTTAATTTGATGCAAGTTTAACGTTAAATTATATTATAATATAATCAGAAAACCTGGTCACAAAAATTATAAGCCCAAAAAACATGGCTATATAGACCATATACTTTTGCAATTTTATCCATAACTATTTGTAAAATAAGACTATCGCCCGGTGATGCTCGAACAACTCGGATACAGACTCGGATCAATCGCTAGACCAAATGGCATCTTGCATGAGGGTGGACGGCACATGTTGGTAAACAAGGGGGGGTTTTTTTTGTTATCCGTTTTTTTTTGTTGTTTTGTGCTTTTTTTAAAACACACACAAACATGTCTATGGAAACAATGAACCGTTATCATTGACATTAAAAAGAAATAAATAGTATTAACGTCACTAAAAATTACTAACATATAAAAGTATATATTACGTGGTAGAGCCAAGCTGCAGCTATATTATAGTTGTAGCATGCATGGGTCGGCTCGACCGGGGCAGTACGACGCTTTCACAGAATACCAGCGTAATGCTGCTGCGTTTCGTATGGTTAGTGTAGAGAACCGGAGACCCGTTTTACTGGAATCCAGGCATTCCATCTTACCTCAAGGGTGACAACGCATTTGCATTTTGATTCTTAATTGAAGATAAATGTGGATGTCTATGGACCACAGCATCCACTTACCATCAGGTGGACTGTGTGCTCGTTTGTCATCCAATGCTATAAAAAAACAAACGCCATTTTTTTGTAAATTTGACGTGGCAGATCTCTTTTAGAAGCAAAGAACCGAACAATGAGGCATTTTTGTAGGACGTCGATTTAGTTACGCAACTAAATTTAGTCTAGTGAGCAGTGCCGTTGCAACTAGTCTTATTTTACGCATAGGACCGCTGTGTCATATTTGGACTTATAATTTGGCACAGGGGAACGCCTGCGTATGGCTACTTCTGTTCGCTAAGTCGGCGACCTATGTTGTTTTATGCACGTGTAGTGCAGTTCGGTCCAATTTTTACGGAAGTTAGCGTTGGCACAGTCCAATTTTAAGTGCTAATTTACCACGTGCTCGGCAGTGAAATAAAACATCGTAAGGAAACCTGCGTGTCTGAGGAATAAAAATATTTCCAAGACATGATGTGAAGTCTGCCAACCCGCACGGGAGTAGAGCAGCAAACAAATTGCTCCATAACTTTTTCAGAAATTATGTGGTCTGTGCCCAGCAGTAGGTTGTATATAGGCTGTAACTTTACTTTACTTTAATCTTTAGGTGAAAAAAGAAAATAAGCCTCAAAAGAAAAATAAAATATATTATGACAATTAAATAGCAACAAACTGACGGTATCTGAATTTGTCAAAACAAATGTGTAAAAATGTTCCGCATCAAAAAAATTTAAAATGCAAGAATATCCTTATTGCAATAAATTAAACCTTCTTAAAACTAATTAATATATGGGTAGTGTAATGGCGAACGTTGCATATAATAAAGTGGCTTTATTTTAATTAATACACAAGGTACAATGAAAATAGTACTTCCAAAATGTCACTTAACCGAAACAACGAACAGTAATAACTATTTCAAAAAGATAAAGAACATTTGGCGGATCACTAATATTAATTTACCATTCGTTAACAGTTTGTTAATAATCCTTGTATACGCTTTAGCGAAAATTTCTGCAAGTGACTACCCACGCTTCGCTGGATTAATGGTGATATTTGGTCACTTCCTTGCTATAATATCAGATTCATTCACTATTTTTCATAATATAACAAATTTTAGAGAACACAACGACTACACATCGAACTTGTGCTTTATAATCGCCAATGTTTTTTCTATAATTGGCGAATACAAGGAAATACAATCAACTCTAAAACATCAAGCAAGCGCTACAAGAAATTCCATACAAATAAGCTAATGGTGGAACTGCAGTATGTTATACAAAAGTATTTACCATATATTGGACATGTGTTGATGACTTTTGGATATATTTTAGACCATTTTGAATACTTTCCGCCGCCATGGCCAAGCGCCGTAGTCGTTGTTGGTCATATTTTTGTCCTCTCCGAGATTTTATCATCAGCAAACCTTAAAGTAAAAATAATTAGTATCATATTTTTTTTTAGTAACGTGTTTTCGTTCGTATACGATTTAGTATCGTCAATAAATACGAATACCTATGATCAATAACCAAGATATCCATACAATAGTGCTGTTTGGATATCAGTGTGGTACTTGAAAATGTTTTTTAACAAAAATTCACAAAATGTAATCAATAAAAGAAAGTAAAAGGAAAATTATCTTTGATTCTTAAATAAAATCAAGAACTTCTAACACGAAATCAGCTACTTTCCTCTAAAGCACAGACACGCAGCGTCTGATTTAGAGTTCTGAGAGCCCTAGACAGACTATGAATACGCGTCCCGCCTGACCTATCCTGGATGTGCCGGCCCTGCCTACGGATATATTTACTAATTTTATATTTTACTAGCTTTCTGCCGGCGGCTTCACCCAAATTAAACCAAGTTTAATAGATTAGGCCGTAAATAAAAGTTCTTTTCTCAAGAGGCTAAAGCTAGGCTAAGGCTGTATCACCACCAGGTGGGGTTGTGTTCAAACACTGGCTTATAATAAGTAATAATCAGTCAGACAGGCTGTGTATTTCGCATGAGTATTCACATATATATATATATATATATATATATATATATATATATATATATATACTAGCTTGCCAGGCAGACGTTGTTCTGCCCTTTTCGACGACCCTTTGTCACGAATTGTAAAACTCCTAAAATTCGTAAAAAAATATTGTGGGTCACTCATGGGCAAAAAACTATCCAATCTCTCAAGTTGGACCAATCTTTACACGATGTGGAGTCCATCGTGGACAAACAACGTGACACGTAATTTATATATATATATATATATATATATATATACTGGGTGGTTGAAAAGAAACTCCGTATCTTTATTTGGTTATAAGATTTCAATTTTTTACATTAATTTGTCAAACTACTAAGCAAATAAAACTGTACAATGTGAGTTATAAAAAAATCTGAAAAATTCAGAATTTAATATAAGCGCATGCATTTTCTACCATTTTTTCAAACGTCTTGGAATATCTGCTACGGACCTTTGTAGAAAGTGTTGAGATACATATGTTGACACTTGCTGAATTCTTACTTCCAGTTCATCAAGAGTGCGAGGTTTTGAGCGATAGACATCATCATTTTCCCAACCCCACAGGAAAAAATCGCAAGGCGTGAGGTCCGGGCTACAAGCAGGGCATTCGTGTCACCCGCGGCGACCTAACCAACGCCCTGGGAAGCGGTTATTCTGCCACTGTCGCACATAAGTTATGTTTATATTACTAAAATTTATACCTCAATAATGATGGTACGATTACTGTTCCCCAATATTCCTATAAAGCGTTATGGCAAATCCTACTCTCAACGAAAGAAGTCTCTGTCCACTAGTGGGCTTTAACGGGCTGATTGAGAAGAAGGACAAGAATGTTAATAAGGGATAATTATACAATATACCAGTAAAATTGGAAATTTGAAAATTTTTGAAAACAATAAAACTTAAATTATTAAACGTATTATTTGATACTCTAAATTACTGTTTTTTTTTTGTTGACACATACTTTGTATATATACGTGTAAGTACTATGCTTTCACAAAGAGTCATCTTTCAACCTAAGTTCTAAATGT